GGATGGAATCATTTCACATTTAAAGAACTTTCAGAAGTTCGTATTTTGACCGAACTTTTCCTTTAATTGTTTTTCCAAAAGTATTTCATCACTAATCCCCTCACTGGAAAAAATCTAAATCTTGATAAGTATTTTTTTCTTAAAATAAATGCATCTGTTCTTGGATTGAGGAGGTAAAAGTGACATTTTTGCCAATTAAACAAGACAATTTACACATGAAATAAGAAAACACAATTGCATCGTCTTATTTTAAGTGCATTTTATTTAATTATCTTATTCTAAGAGTAAAAATACTCATTCCATTGGCAAATTATCTCATTTACCTGCTCAAATCAAGGGTAAATACACTTAATCTAAGAAATACTTACTTATTTCTAGATTGTTTTTCCAGTGTTAACTTTACCAACGCTGGGGGGCAAATAAATCTAAAATATTATGTTATAATGTTACATCCTGCTTTATAATCCAGATGGTTTTCAAAGCAGGAAGTTCTGCTTCTCAGGGTCAAAAGCTTCTGGGTATAACTCAGGTTATATTTTGGCTTAGAGATGATTTTTTACAATAAACTTAGGTTTTCTCTAATGTTTTCTTCACCGCTCGACTTCTCACTCCTCCACGCTATCATTTTACCGTTGCTAGGAGACTAAAAAGCCCTCCGGGTTGCCGTAACGCAGTCAGACTTTATTAGAAAAAAATTAAACTTGTAATGCGGCAGCCTGATGAGGAAAAAAACCTCCTGTAGTAACTGAGATTCTCCCACATATCACAACTCTTTCTTTGTTTTTCTCGTTCAAGCAGAAACGTTTTCGTTGTGTTTGGTTCTTTGAAATGTGTCCCCATGCTGCAGGGGAGGTCAGTGACATCACTGCTAATGTTCAAGTCTTTCTTCGTCTCCACAGTCGGAACCTCCTGTCCAGTTTGCCTCCTTCCATGTTCCAGCTTCCCCTCCTGCGAGTTCTTATCGTCAGCAACAACAAGCTGTCCTCTCTGCCCTCGTCCATCTACTCGCTCACGCACCTCCGACAGCTGGTACGGCGCACACACTCAGATCTCCTTCTGCTCCTCCTCCTGCTCCCTCTGAGCCACAGATCATTTCATCTACATGTGAAGAACCACCTCAGTTTTATTTCACTGAAATAAACGCCAGGATTCTGCTTCTCAGACTGGAAAAAAGACATTTTTTCTTAAAATAAGTACATTTGTTCTTGGATTGAGGAGG